AGCAACATAATAACAGTAGGAGATCTCAACACCCCATTTACATGAACGGATAGATCATCCAGAGGAAAGTCAACAAGGAAATAGTGAAATTAAGAGAAAAGCTAGACCAGACAGATGTAATAGATATATATAGAATACTCCATGCAAAAACAGTAAAACACACCTTCTTCTCACGTGCACATGGAACATTCTCAAAGACAGACCATATTTTGGGAAATAACACAAGCCTCAATAAATTTAAGAAGACTGAAATCACCTCAAGGATCTTTTCCAACCATAATGCTATGAAACTAGAAATTAACTAAAAGAGGGGCTGGCCCAGTGGTGCAGCAGTTAAGTTCGCACGTTCTGCTTTGGTGGCCTGGGGTTGGCAGGTTCGGATCCCAGGTGCGTACCTACCCCCTGCTTATCAAGCCATGCCATGGCAGGCATCCCACATATAAAGTAGAGGAAGATGGGCACGCATGTTAGCTCAGGGCTGATCTTCCTCAGCAAAAAAAGGAGGATTGGCAGCAGATGTTAGTTCAGGGCTGATCTTCCTCAAAAAAAAAAAAAAAAAAAAAAAGAAACAAAGAAATTAACTACAAGAAGAAAGCTAGGAAAGTGACAAATATGTGGAGACTAAACAACATGCTCCTGAACAACCAATGGACCATTGACGAAATTAAAAAAGAAATCTGACTAAAAAACAAAGACAAATGAAGATGAAAACACACCGTATCAACTCATATGGGATGCAGCAAAAGTGGTCCTGAGAGGGAAGTTCATAACAATACAGGCTCACCTTAACAAATGAGAAAAATCTCAAATAAGCAATCTCAAACTACACCAAACAGAAATAGAAAGAGAAGAACAAACAAAGCCCAAAGTCAGCAGAAGGAGGGAAATAATAAAAATTAGAACAGAAATAAATGAAATTGAAAGAAAAAGGAAAGACAGTAGAAAGGACCAATGAAACTAAGAGCTGGTTCTTCTAGAAGATAAACAAAATTGACAAACCCTTAGCCAGACTCACTGAGAAAAAAAGAAAAGACTCAAATAAATAAAATGAGGAATGAAAGAGGAGAAATTACAATGGATACCAAAGAAATACAAAGGATTATAAGAGAACACTATGAAAAACTATATGCCAACAAATTGGACAATCTAGAAGAAAAGAAATGGACAAATTCTTAGACTCATACAACCTCCCACAACTAAATCAAGAAGAAATAGAGAATCTGAATAGACCAATCACAAGCAAGGAGATTGAAAACAGTAATCAAAAACCAACCAAAAAATAAAAGTCCAGGACCAGACGGCTTCTCTGGAGAATTCTGCCAAACACTCAAAGATTTAATACCCATTCTTCTCAACCTGTTCCAAAAAATTGAAGAAGACAGAACACTTTCTAACACATTCTATGAGGCCAACATCACTGATTCCAAGGCTAGACAAGGACAACACAAAGAAGGAAAATTACAGGCCAATATCGCTGTTGAACATAGCGACATATTTGTTGTTCAACAAAATATTGGAACTGAATACAGCAATACATTAAAAGGATTATACACCATGAGAAAGTGGGACTTATACCAGGGATGCAGGGATGGTTCAATGTGATACACCACATTAACAAAATGAGGAACAAAAACCACATGATCATCTCAAAAGATGCAGAGAAAGCATATGACAAGATCCTACATTCATTTATGATAAAAACTCTGAATAAAATGGGTATAGAAGGAAGGTACATCAACATAATAAAGGCCATATATGACAAACCCACTGCCAACATCATACTCAATGGAAAAAAACTGAAAGCCATCCATCTGAGAACTGGAACAAGACAAAGGTGCCCACTCTCACCACTCTTACTCAACATAGTCCTGGAAGTTTTGGCCAGAGCAATTAGGCAAGAAAAAGAAATGAAAGGTATCCAAATTGGCAATGAAGAAATGAAGCTCTCATTGTTTGCAGATGACATGATTTTATATACAGAAAACCCTAGAGAATCCATCAGAAAACTATTAGAAATAATCAACAACTACAGCAAAGTTGCAGGGTACAAAATCAACTTACGAAACTCAGTTGCATTTCTATACTCTAATAACAAACTAACAAAAAGAGAACTCAAGAATACAATCCAGGGGGTTGGCCTGGTGGCGCAGCAGTTAAGTGTGCATGTTCTGCTTCGGCAGCCCGGGGTTTGCCAGTTCAGATCCCAGGAGCAGATATGGCACCACCTGGCACGCCATGCTGTGGTAGGCATCCCACATATAAAGTAGAGGAAGATGGGCATGGATGTTAGCTGAGGGCCAGTCTTCCTCAGCAAAAAGAGGAGGATGGGTGGCAGTTGTTAGCTCAGGGCTAGTCTTCCTCAAAAAAAAAAAAAAAAGAATACAATCCAACTTACAATCTCAACACACAGAATAAAATATCTAGGAATAAACCTAAGTCAGGAGGTGAAAGACCTATACAATGAAAACTATAAGACATTGTTGAAAGAAATTGATGATGACATAAAGAAATGGAACGATATTCCATGCACATGGATTGGAAGAATAAACATAGTTAAAATGTCCAAACTACCTAAACCAACCCACAGATTCAATGCAATCCCAATCAGAATCCCAATGACATTCTTCATGGGAATAGAACAAAGAATCCTAAAATTCATATGGGGCCAAAAAAGACCCCAAATAGCTAAAGCAATCCTGAGAAAAAAGAACAAAGCTGGAGGCATCACAATCCCTGACTTCAAAATATACTGCAAAGCTACAGTAATCAAAACAGCATGCTACTGGTACAAAAACAGACATACAGATCAATGGAACAGAACTGAAAGCCCAGAAATAAAACCACACATCTACAGACAGCTAATCTTCAACAAAGGAGCTAAGAACATACAATGCAGAAAGGAAAAACCTCTTTAATAAATGGTGTTGGGAAAACTGGACAGCCACATGCAAAAGAATGAAAGTAGACCATTATCTTTTGCCATACACAAAGATGAACTCAAAACGGATTAAAGACTTGAAGCTAAGACACGAAACTGCAAAACTCCTAGAAGAAAATATAGGCAAGCTACTCTTTGACATCAGTCTTAGAAGGATCTTTTTGAATATTAAGTCTAGCTGGGCAAGTGAAACAAAAGGAATAAATAAACAAATGGGACTTGAGCAGAGTAAAGAGATTTTGCAATGTGAACAAAACCAGCAACAGAATGTTAAGACAACCCACTAACTTGGAGAAAAGATTTCCAAATCATATATCCAACAAGGGGTTAGTCTCCAAAATATATAAAGAACTCATACAACTTAACAAGAAAAAGCAAACAACCTGATCACAAAGTGGGCAGAGGATATGAATGGACATTTTTCCAAAGAAAATATACAGATGGCCAACAGGCACATGAAAAGATGCTTGACATCACTAATCACTAGGGAAATGAAAATCAAAACTGTAATGAGATATCACCTTATACCTGTTAGAATGGCTATACCTACCAAGATGAAAAACAATAAATGTTGGAGAGGTTGTGGAGGAAAGGGAACCCTCATACACTGCTGGTGGGAACGCAAACTGGTACAGCCACTATGGAAAACAGTATGGATATTTCTCAAAAAATTAAAAATAGAAATACCATACGACCCAGCTATTCCACTATTGGGTATTTATTCAAAGAACTTGAAATTAACAATTCAAAAAAGACTTACGCACCCCTATGTTCATTGCAGCATTATTCACAACAGCCAAGATGTGGAAGCAACCCAAGTGCCCACCGACTGATGAATGGATAAAGAAGAGATGGTTTATATATACAATGGAATACTACTCAGACATAAAAAAAGACAAAACTGTCCCATTCACAACAACACGGATGGATCTTGAGGGTATTAGGTTAAGAGAAATATGCCAGACAGAGAAAGACAAACACTATATGATTTCACTCATATGTGGAAGATAAAAAAAACACATGGACAAAGACAACAGATTAGTGGTTACCAGAGGGGAAAGGAGTTGGGGGTAGGCATAAGGGGTAAAGGGGCATATATATATGGTGACTGACCAATAATAATGTACAACTGAAACTTAATGTTATAAACTATTATGACTTCAATAAAAAAACGATATAACCCCAATTTGCCAAGTTTATAAGTTTATATTTCAGTCTATCATCTACCACTTGTGTAACATATAGCTTTCAGGTGCATAGTATATACTAATACAAAGGTACTTTAAAGTATACAAAGACAAGGCCCGGTGGAGCAGTGGTTAAGTTCCCACGTTCCACTTTGGTGGTCCAGGGTTCGCCGGTTCGGATCCCAGGTGTGGACATGGCACCGCTTGGCAAGCCATGCTGCGATAGGCATCCTACATATAAAGTAGAGGAAGATAGGCATGGATGTTAGCTCAGGGCCAGTCTTCCTCAGCAAAGAGAGGAGGATTGGCAACAGATGTTAGCTCAGGGCTAATCTTCCTCTAAAAAAAAAAAAGATAAGGCCGGCTTTATGGCATACTGGTTAAGTTTACAACCCTTAGCTCTCACTCTTTTTTACTGTGAATGTCTGATTATCATGTTGGTCAAATGTAAATCCTATAACCAGATTTTATCTCAGTTGTGAATAACTTAAAATCACCAAATTATTACGCCTATTTGTTTTCCTTAAGTGCCACAAAGGCACAGATGTGTAATAAAGAAGAAATGATACTTGGAAAATCAAACTCACTCTTTACTTTAGTACCTTTAGATAGCTGTAATGAAAAAGGAACCTGAGAGCTCTAAGAATGGGATGTGGAAACCATGTTTGGTTTTATGGCTATTTCCATCCCCAAGGATTAGTAATCTAGATCTTTACACATTTGAAACAGCTTTAGATGATATAAGGGAATTCTAAAACAACCAACTGAAAGATCTCAGTAGCAACAGCAGACACAGTATTACAGAAGTCAATGCTAATTTAGGGTATGAGAGTAAGGAAGGACATACATATTCAATAGCAGATGTGGTCACTCACCTGTCGAATCGACATGGTGCAGAGAATATACAGGAAGATGAAGGAACAGTCTGTGGTGTCATCCCCCAACAGATTTCGATGAGACAGCCCTTGGATGTAGGAAAGGGGGGTGAAAGGAAGCTTTGCCACCACTCTACCATCAAATCTACAAAGGAAAAAACAAAGAATTGTTATTTTTGGAAGATTGACAAGCTACTTAGTTCCCGAGATGAATCTGGGACAGAAATAGAACATTAAGTCCCTTGATCTCTAAAAAACAAAGAAAGGGTGATATTCTAAAAAGAGACCTGAAGTACAAGGATGTAAGGAAAGGCCTAGATTTTTCCCATCAATCTTTTTCTAAACAGGTGATTCTTAATTTTTTCAGTATCAGGACCCCTTAACACTCTGAAAAATTACTGAGGAACCCAGTAAGTTTTCATTTAGAGGTCATATCTATCAATATTTACTGTTCTATAAATTAAAACTGAGAAATGTTAAAATATTTGTTAAATCATTTAAAAGGTAAAATCATAAAAAGGTAAATAATCATTATAGTTGACATAAATATTTTATGAAAAATAAGTATATTTTCTAAAACAAAAAAGAAATTAGTGAGAAGAAAGGCTTTTTTTTTCTTTTAAATCTCTTTAATGTTTTATTTAACAGAATACTGCTGGATTCCCATAGCTCCTTCAGCATTCAAGCTGTTGCAATATTACACATCATGGAGCCTCTGGAAAATTCCACTGTTCATTCATGAGAGAATGAGAGTGAAAAAGGCAAATGATGTCCTAGAACTATTACGACAATAATTTTGACCTCAAGGACCTCCTCAGAGTCTCAGAGAGCCCCCCACTGTCCTAAACCATGACACCAATAATATATTATAAACCCTCTTTTCCAAGACTCAAAGATTCCCAATATACACGCTAACAGGACAAACATTTCTGAACAGAAATTCATGGAAAACATAGTAGTGAATGAAAAAAGTAGATTATTAAATTGTATATACAGTATACTGAGATAACTTTTAACATACTTTGTGTCTGAAAGTAATTCCTTTTTTTCCAAAATAAAAAAGAGAAATATTTCTAAAAGAGAAAAGCTTAGAAAAAAGCTAGAAAAAAATACCTACCAGTATATATACATTGACATGCTGGGGATATAACCTTCTTTCATACTTTTCTATGAATAAGTTGTATAATCAGACAACAATAAAAATTATAAAAATTAATGTGGTTATGGACAGTGATAAATTAGCCAAATAAAGTATTTGGTTCCAGTTAAAGTGGGTAGAAAATTCCCTCTTAGAAAAACACTTGGTGTTTAGAATGTTTCTATGGAAAGAGAGGAAAAAGAGAGGTAGCAATACCATCTTTGTCTTTGGGAAAAAAATTCCTAAATATTCAAACTATTATGGTTCTAAAGAGCTTCTTACACAACTGTACTCCAAAGAATACAGAATAGAATGAACTATCTTCTACATGTATGATTACCCACTTACTACTTCCAATTGCCTTCCTAGTTTATATTTATACAGGAAAAGTGCTCAATCATGAAGTGACTTTACCTGTATATGACAAAAATATTTAAAGATCTGCTTGAAGTAATCATTGTCATTCTTTTCTACTAAGCTAACAAAAGCAAAACAAAAGTAGTAATGTTTCCAGGAGAAGATACTTCCATTGACTCATAAGAAGTATTAAATGCAGTTGTTCCAATATTTTCTGGTTATATGCCCTATACAGCATGCTGCTCTGGTATGCCACTCTGACTATCCTTCTGTGGAGTTAAGCTGTGAGAAGAAGGGATGGAACAGATACAGTCCAAGATGTTTATCCCCTCTTACTGTTAACGTACAGATCCAACAAATTCATCTTAAGTAGTTATTGTAATTTTTGTTATTTTCAACTTGAAATTGTAACCAAAAAGAAAACCTTTTAGAACTAATAAATTCAATAAAGTTTCAGAATACAAAATTAACATACAAAAATCAGTTGCATTTCTATACACTAACAATGAACTATCTGGAAGAGAAATAAAATAATCCCATTTACAATAGCATTAAAAAGAATAAAATACCTAAGCATAAATTTAACCAAAGAGGTGAGAGATCTACACACAGAAAACTATAAGACACTGATGAAAGAAATTGAAGAAGACAAAAATAAATGAAAAGATATTGGAAGAGTTAATATTGTTACAATGTCTATACTACCCAAAGCCACTGATAGAGTCAACACAATCTCTATCAAAATTCCAACAGATTTTTCACAGAAACAGAAAAAGCAATCCTAAAGTTCATATGGAATCACAAGAAACCCCTAATAGCTAAAGCAATCTTGAGAAAGAACAAAGCTAGAGGCATCACATTTCCTGATTTTAAACTATATCACAAAGCTACAGTAATCAAAATAGTATGGTACTGACATAAAATGGACGAATGGAACAGAACAGAAGGCCAAGAAATATACCCACACATATATGGTCAACTAATATTTGACAAAGGAACCAAGAATATTCAATATGAGAAAGGATAGTCTCTTCAAACTATCAAAATATCCAGTGTTGGGAAAACTGGATATTCACATGCAAAAGAACGATACTGGACCCGTATCTTACACAACTCACAAAAAGTAATTCAAAATGGATTAAAGTCTTAAACATAAGACCTGAAACTGTAAACTCCTAGAGGAAAAGCTCCTTACATTGATCTTGGCAATGATTTTTTGGATATGAGACCAAAAGCACAAGCAACAAAAATCAACGAATGGGACTACATCAAACTAAAAAGCTTCAGCACAGCAAAAGAAACAATCAACAAAATGAAAAAGCAAACTATGGAATGGGAGACAATATTTGCAAACCATATATCTCATAAGGGTTTAATACCCAAGATCTATAAGGAACTATATAATTCAATAGCAAAATAATAATAATAATAACAATCTGATTAAAAAGTAGGTAGAGGATCTGAATAGACACTTTTCCAAACAAGACACACAAACGGCCAAGAAGTACAAGAAAAGACGCTCACATCACTAACCATTAGGGAAATGCAAATCAAAACCACAACAAGATATCACCTCACATCTGTGAGAATGGCTATTATCAAAAAGACAAGAAACAACAGATGCTGGCAAGGACATAGGGAAAAGGGAACCCATGTGCACTGCTGGTGGAATGTAAATAGGTACAGCCACTAGGGAAAACAGAACGAAAGTTCCCCAAAAGATTAAAATAGAACTACTATATGATCAGCAATCCACTTCTGGGTATATAGCCAAAGGAAATAACACAAATTATTATCTCAAAGAGATTATCGGGACCTCCACGTTCATTACAGCACTATTCACAATAGTCAAGACATGGAAACAACCTAAGTGTCCATTGACAGATGAATGCACAAAGAAAATGTGAGATAGATATATTTACATATACACAATGGAATAGTACTTAACCATATAAAAAGAAATCCTGCCATTTGTGACAACATGGGCATTATGCTAAGTGAAATAAGTCAGACAAAGATAAATACTGTATGATATCATTTATATGTGGAATCTAAAAAAGTTGTACTCATAGAAACAGAGTTAGATTGGTGGTTGCCAGGGGCCGGGGAGTGGGGAAAATGGGGTGATGTTGGTGAAAGGGAACAAACTTCTAGTTACAAGATGAAAAATTTTTCAGGAATCTAACGTACAGCATAGTGATTATAGTTAACAATAGTGTATTATAAACTTGAAAGTTGCTAAGAGAGTAAATCTTAAATGTTTTCCCCAACACCACCACAAAAACAAAATGATAATTATGTAAGGTGAAGGATGTGTTACCCAACCTTATTGTGGTAATTATTTTGCAATATCTACATTGTACATCTTAAACATACACAATGTTATATGTCAATTATATCTCAATAAAGCTGAAAAAAAAGATTAAACCAAAGGAAAACCTTTTATGTTTTGTAAGTTATTCATTTATGCGAAACTGAACAACCACTATGCATGAGACCTTAAACCAGCCACAAATGTGAAAAAAAAAGAAACTTCTGAAAATTCTTACTTTTAACGAATTAATTTTTCCAGGAGACTAGAAGCTCGTCACAGGAATAGCTAAGTGAACTGGCATCTAGCTTAATAAAGAAAAGAGTTAGGGAGAGAAGGGGAAAGGTGCAAAGAGAGAGAGGGCTTATAATGGGTAAATTATTTCTTTAAGTGCACTTACTCTCTGTGATTCTAGAGGACAGGAACTACTCACGAATGGAGAAGTACAGGGAGGCATATTTTGGCCCAGTAAAAGGAATTATTTTTAAGCCCTCAAAGCTACTCAATGGCGGGGGTGGGGGGGGGGGCGGGGGGGGACCAGCCTGGTGGTGTAGTGGTTAAGTTTGTGTACTCCGCTTTGGTGGCCCGGGGTTCGCAGGTTCAGATTCCGAGTACAGACCTAGCACTGCTTGTCAAGCCACACTGCGGCGGCATCCCACATAAAATAGAGTAAGATTGGCACAGATGTTAGCTCAGTGACAATCTTCCTCAAGCAAAAAGAGGTAGACTGGCAACAGATGTTGACTCAGGACCAACCTTCCTCACCAAATTAAAAAAAAAAACAAAGAAATCAAACAAACAATTAAACCACTACTAAATAAAAGTATGTTATCTCAGAAACCATCAAGGTCCTCATTGTTGGAAATAACTGAACAGAGAATGGAAAATTATCTACTAGAGGTATTATTGAAAGGATTTCTGTATTGGGACAGAAGTTATGTGTTAAATGACTTGCAAGATCTCTTCTAAGATTGTAATGTTTCAGCTTTACAGAAATGATCCAGGAAGAGAAAAAAAAAAGAGAAATAAATAGCTAAATTCAATGCCTCCTATTGCTCTGGCAATCTGGGAGCTCAGGTCCTTCCCATCTTAGTCTAACCTTAGGCATTTTTCTTAAAATCTGACAGCTGTCAACAAATGTTAAGACTGAACAGGGTATTAGCGATAGGTATTCCAATCTATAATCAACAGAAGATCAAAGTGAAACTCAGAGAAATTATGTTAGATTGAATAATTCGGTTCAATACAACCAAAATATATACTAGACTTTTAATTTCACATGCCAGCCTATAAAGAATAGAGATATAGCCTTTAACTTGTAGGTGCTGACAGTCTTAGA